ACAATCAGGAGCGAGTTTGTAATATAATATGTTGGTTTTGTATAAATAAACGGATGTATAGTCACTCTAGTGGCAAGAAGCGCGCGCGTAAGGCATACCCTATAAGGTCCTGGGTTCGAACCCCATAGACCTTTTGTTTTGTTTTCTAACATTTTCTTTGTTTCATTTTTTGGCCATCAGCGCTTGGGCCTCCCTCCATTGGGCCATTTGCTCTTTTAATCAGCAACACCCCTTGTTCACTATATAACACGCATGCCCATTTTTTTATTTCTTTTTCTGACTTCAAACAAAAAAAGACTTGGGCCTAGTAAACCAAACTATTTTACTTGTTTACCCCCTAAATCATTTTCAAACCCCCTGACTTACTATTTTTATTTTATTATTTTATTTTATTTTCCTCTCTTTATTTTATTTTTTATTATTTTTATTCTTATTGAAAATACAAAAAAAAAAATTATATTAAATACTTAGACTAATTTTCTACTTCCATTTTATTTTTATTAAACAAAAAAACCCTAAAAAATATGTTCTTTCTTAATTTAATTAAAATAAATTTAGAATTAGGTTTTTACTTTTATTTGCCCTTCTTAATTAAATAAACTTAGACTTTAATTAATTAATTTCTATTTTAAACTAATTAGGTTAAAACCTTTTCATACAAAAAACTCAAACAAAAACAATTTTCTTTTCTTTTTACATTATCTTTATATTTTGTATATCTTTATTGTTATTCATTATTCAATATGGTTATAATAGTAATTAGATTTTAATTGCTTTCATCCTCATTTGTAATTTATATCCCCATCCCCTAAAATGATGTAATAACGTAGAATTTTTAATTTCCCCAATTTATCGCTTTCAATATTATTGCTAGTAATTAGAGTTTGTATGACAAGACTTAAAACCAAATAAATAGACAACCCTAATTCAAGACAAAAGGCATGAAAACAATACACTTTACACACTTGCACCTCTAGGGTAACTCACACTTGTTGCCTCGGATAAAAACAGTCACGTCCCTCAAACTTGGGATACTTTAGCAAAGACCCTAGAATACAAGATCGTAGTCCCCGATGACCCTTCGATATTGCCTTCGGTAAACGATCTTAGACCCTTACGACAAATTGCTAAAGTATCCTACAACGTTGCATTCTATGACTGTACGATGACTCACGTCCGTCCTTCACATCCAATGATAAGGTTTATTACTAACTAATGGTAAGATAACACTATCTAAAAGAGGAGGAGAAGAACAAAAACTTTCTTTTGAGTAGGTAGAACGCTCATAGTTGCTTGCTCACAAATATTCCAAAATAAAAACATCTTTCAAACACACCAACACTTTCATGAAATGTTTTCAAAAGTCAACACTTTGTATACATTCTTATAGAGACGAGAATCATTACAAAGTTTGCCTAAATAAAGGCACTTTTCAAAAATACTTTCAAACAAAACACAAACACCTTCACAAAAGCATTTCAAAATGAGCTAGCAACTAAGAGCCATAGATAACTACGAATGGAAAGGGTGCTAATACCTTCCCTTTTCATAACCTACCCCTCGAACTCAAGAAAATTCTCAAAAAGTATTTCCTGTTCTTTTCACCCTTTCCTTTATTGGATAAAAGAAAAGTCGATGACGACTCTTGCTATTTGCAACAATTGTGATAAAACTCAAAACACCCAATTCAATTCTCCCACCATATTACATGTGTACAAAAGGTTAGTAGGGTCAAGTGGAGGTAAGACAGACTGGGCTACTGCAAGTTGGCAATTTCAAGAAGAATTATTAGGCAAGAGAATTTAAATGAGGGAAGTTGTTGGCCTTAAGGAAAGTGTGAAAGGAGAAATAAAGGAGGGAAAACTTGGTGGTAAAAAAAAAGAGAATAAAGCTATTCAAATTCAAAGATGATAATGGAGAATCTAAAAGACAAAAGCTAGTACATTCGTACTCTGCTTTAGTCAGACCAGCGTCGCCTGTGCTTGCTACTGATTCTGCCACACGCCACCTTGACTCCTACTGTTGTCCCCTCTCATACGGATCCTTGTGTCGCTTTGGAATGTTGTTGGTCTTTTGGCGCTAGTCCATTTGGGCTTGATGTGATTCATAGGAAAAGACCATGATCCAATGCAAGATACCAACCCTAATCCTTGGCCTATATAAAGAGAAGTTAGCTGGAGAGAGAGAGAGAGAGAGAGAGGAAGAGAGAGAGAGAGAGAGAGAGAGAGAGAGAGAGAGAGAGAGAGAGAGAGAGAGAGAGAGAGAGAGAGTTCTGTTGATAAACTTAGAAATAAGTAACGACTTGGTGTTGAGAGAGATCTAACAACGAGCGTATTTCATGAGTAAAAATGGTTGAAAAAGTATGATAGATATATTTTCTTGACCTAACTTACTAAGATATAAGAAGCTGTAACCATTAAGGAAATCAAATTTATTAAAAGATACAAGCTTTGATTATAAGTGAGGCTTAAAGATTTATTCCCTTGCCTTTGCATGCATGTTTTGAATGTTGTAGAAATACACCACAAGATCATTCTGACCTTTCCTGTCACGACTCCAAAGTATAAACACATAAATTCATAAATAATATTAATGGATCTATGCTGAACTCTACCTCTCTTAATACATTTCACTCCCATTTTCACTCTTTACAGTTTTGTTATAAGTAACACTAACTCATCACCAACAACCTTATTATTATTTCTTACTCATGCTTAATTTAAAAGAATAGGAGTTTACAAAATCAAATCTAAGTAACTTTACTCCCTATGGATACGATACTCTTATATTTATTACTTTCTGCAATTATAACATGTATACTTGCATGTAACAAATTTAGAAACATGATTTCAACCAACAGAGACCAAGCATAAAGGCAAGACTTTTTCAGGAAGACAACCCCCAATTGACCCTTGTCAAATGCATGATTTCTGAGACACTGAATGCCTTCTAGTGCAGGCGGAGGAGAAGGTGGGGGTTAGACATACCATGTAGGTTTTTGTTTAGTTGTATTATTTGTATTTTTGAAACAACTTATATATGATCGGTATACTTTGATAATTATGTGAATTTTCCATATTTGTGTAATGTGTTTGAATCAATTAATGCATGTATTTTTCTTTTAATTCATGGCCTAAAATGACCTAAAATATGTTGGTCTAAAATGACCTAAAATATACTGGCCTAAAAATGAAATTTAGTAAATAAAAACACCACAATTGGGTACATGGGGTATTTAGGAGATGCATCTTCACATACTCCTAAAATAACATATAAATATACATATTTTTTAAAAATGGAATGTATATGAAAAAGATAAAGATTTGTGTGATTTTAAGTACGCCCGAAGATGTATCTCCTGATGCATTAATGGGAATTTCGAGTCTCTAGAGGCATGGGGTGCACCCCTTAGGATGGTAAGAGCATTTCCTAAATTTAAGGGTGTACATGAGTTTGGTAGACCTAATAAATTCAGACAATTCCACTCAAACTAACTAAAAAAAGGGTTGGATTGGCTTATTAGGTGAACATTATTTTCAAAAATGAAAACTCATTCAAAATAATTGAGTTTTGAATAAGCTCGAACTCAAGCCATGAAACTTTTGGGTTATTGAGTGACTACTTTTTTTCTTTTCTTTTTTATAATTTGGTGGATGATGACTTTGATGTGTTTGATTTTGATTGCATCAATTAGAATCTCTTGAATATTTTTTATTTTTGTGACTCGTGATTTTAACTTATTTTCGACGTCAAATTTTGATGATTTTGATATTAATTCTTGGTATTATTGTAATGCATTTTTTGGTATTATTGTAATGCAACTAGGGGTGTTCATTGATTCAACAAATCCAAATCAAATAGGAATTCAAACCAAACCATGATGTTTGGATCAGACATTTTTTTAGTTCGGTTAAAAATCGAACCAAACCAATAAAATCTGATATTAATTGGTTCAGACAACGAATTTCTAAAATTCTACCCGCAAGCCAGTCTACCCGAACCAACCATATTAAATCATATAATTTATATCGTTATTATCATAGAAACTAGTATAAAATATTCAACTTCAAGAAGAAGAAAAAAATCATCAGTGACATTCACAACTTATATGTAGAAATGAAAAAAATTAAAAATTTGTATGTTATTATGAAACATTAATTGATGTCATTTAGATATTTTTTATAATATTTATATATATATTTTTAATGTATCCAATCAATCCATCAGAAATCAATTCGTTATTTTTCAATTTGGTTTAGATTGAACTTTATAAAAAAAAAATTCTAAATCCAATTCAAATCAATTCATATATTTTTGATCGATTTAAACATCATATTTTCTCGAAATCGAACCAAACCGATCCGCAAACACCTCTAAATACAACTTTACTTTTAAAAATATATTTATGATGAATTTTATCGTACATTTAAAAATCTGTTACTTAAAAAATAATAATAAAAGACTAAATTATTTTTCAAGAAAAAAATGATTAGAACATTTTTTGAAATACACATCATTTGTAATTTATATAAAGAAAAAAATTGAATAATCTATTATCCAACTCAATTCAACTTATAATTTTATCAAAAATCGATTTAATGATATATGAGTGATTATTTTAGCTCATCTATTAATTTACCTTGTATGGGTTAGATTTTAATTTTGTCTAAATTCAATCTAAACATATTCATGTACACCCTTAAATAAATTACTAATAAAACTTAATTTTAATTTTTTTAAAATAAAAATTACTAATTTTTCATTTTATCTTTCATTATCTTCTTAAGTAAAACTAATCTCAATTCTAATAACCATTTGCAATTAAATTTTAAAATACCTTTCTTTTTTATCTTTGTGAATTCTTTGTAAAATTCAAAATCAAGTGAGTCTTTTTCAATTCAACACAACTAGAAAAGATGAGAGTCTTGTGCACATTACAAATTCATCCAAACCCACCCATCTCTCTCTCTCTCTCTCTCTCTCTCTCTCTCTCTCTCTCAATGGCTTCCATTCCCACTTTCTCTTCTTCTTCTTCTTCTTCTTCTCTTCTACTCAAACCCAACGCCAACACACTCTTTCCCCATTCAAACTCCTCACATTCACACCTCAACAACAACCAATCACGCACTCTCTCTTTCACTTCTCTCTTTCCAACAAAACTCACCCTTCAACGACCCATTTCCTCAACTCGTTCAATTTCCATCACCAACTGCCGTGCTTCCTCTGCAACGGTTCCGTCTAGCCTCCCTACCGACCCGTAAGTTCTTCGGTTTCTTGAATTTTCATCTGGGTCGGTTCTAATTGTTTAAAGTTTTGACCTTTTTGTGCGTGTGTTTGTTTTGCAGGAATCCACAATCTGGTGAACCACAGAAAACCCCAAATCCAAAGTGAGTTTTTTTTTTGTCTGTCTTTTCTTGTTGCTCATATTCAATCATGTGTGAAACTTCAATTTGGTCCCTAGTATTTGTTCTATGAACTATAAAAATATAGTTAAATTAATTAATGGTGCCTAAACTATCATTTCATTAGTTCTCTTCTTACAATAGAAGAGAGAGTGATAGTTCGGCACATGGTTTTAAATTGCGGTCAGATGTTGCCTGGCAGTGTGAATATTTATTGAGAGATATTTGAAATACATAATTGAAAGATACTTAAAGTTAAGAATTTTAATTACATATAGAGAAGATTGAGATTTGAGGTTCTAAAATTTTCATTTTTGAATAGAATAACTCAACAAACATGATGAAATTGTGTCATGCGGTTCTTGATGCACTTGCCTACGTGATTTTAATTTACACCGCAATTGTGGCTTGATGCCGCTGCGTAGGCGACCGCATCAGCGGATTGCAATTTAAAGCCATGGTTCAGAGATTAACTAGATTGACCTAGATTGATCGAGGATGGTTTAGAAACTATTTATTAGGTTTCTATAGTGTAGAAATATATTTTATATTTCCTTGTATTTGATGAGAATTACATATACTGTATTTATAAAATACATAAGGTAGGATTTGGAAGAAAAATCTGACCTAAGAATCAGGGGAATTAATTTCCCATGAATGCTAATTCTAATTACAGAAAGGACCAGGAAATAATGGCTAGTTAATTACATTAATCCTAATCTTTAATGAGCTGTACAAACAAAATCATTTGATTCAATTATGATTATTTCACACTCCCCCTTAATCTGAGTGGTAGATGTCTATCATACCCAAATTGGATCTAATATTCTCGTATATGTTCCTTGGAAGGGCTTTTGTTAGAATGTCTGCAGTTTGTTGCCATGATGGAATATGGTTAACACTTATAATTTCATGATCAATTTTCTCTTTGATAAAGTGTCGGTCTATCTCCACATGCCTTGTTCTATCATGCCGTACCGGGTTCTTCGCAATGCTAATAGCAGCCTTGTTATCACATAATATCTTCATCGGGTGATTGGTAGGAATTTTGATCTCATCTAGCATTCGCTTAAGCCAAATTCCTTCACAAATGCCTTGTGACATAGCTCTGAATTCTGCTTCTGCGCTTCTCCTAGCCATAACAAATTGTTTCTTGCTTCTCCAAGTTACCATATTATCCCATACAAATGTGCAGTAGCCTGTAGTCGATTTCCTGTCAGATAAACATCCTGCCCAATCAGAATCGGTGTAGACTTCAATACCTCTGTTTGAGTTCTTTTGAAAATAAAGTCCTTGGCCTGGAGTACCTTTCAGGTACTGGAGAATTTTGTTCACATTTCTCATGTCAGTTTCAGTTGGATTTGACATATAACGACTAGCCATGCTTACAGCAAAACCAATGTCTGGTCTGGTGTGAGTTAAATAGATTAGTTTCCCGACTAGACTTTGATATCTATCTTCATTAGCTGGTACATTCTCATCTTCTCTCCTTTTTACTTGTTCTATGGGAGCATTGGCAGCTTTACATCCAAGCATGCCAGTTTCTTGAAGTAAATCCAGAGTGTACTTCCTTTTGAGAAACTGAAATCCCATTCTTTGTTCGTGCAATTTCCATCCCTAGAAAATACTTGAGTTTTCCTAAGTCTTTGACTTCAAATTCTTTTGCTAGAAGTTTCTTTAACTGGTTGACTTGTTCATCATCATCATCTCCCGTAATTACGATATCATCAACATAGACAATAAACAAAGCTATCTTCCCATCCAAAGAGTGCTTGACAAACATAGTATGGTCTGTTTGACATTGAACAAAACCATCTTGCTTGACAACTTTTGTTAGTCTACCAAACCATGCCCTTGGTGATTGTTTGAGGCCATATAGAGATTTTCGAAGTCGACACACAATGTTGGAGGTTCCAGGTGATTCAAGTCCCGGAGGAATTTGCATATATACCTCTTCTTCTAATTCTCCATTTAGAAATGCATTCTTTATATCTAGTTGGTATAGGGGCCAATCTAGATTTGCTGCCAGAGATAGTAGAACCTGGATAGAGTTGAGCTTCGCAATAGGGGCGAAAGTCTCCTCATAATCCACCCCATATGATTGTGTGAACCCCTTAGCAACCAACCGAGCTGTGTACCTGTTTATACTCCCATCAACATTGTGCTTAATTGAAAATATCCACTTGCATCCTACTGCTTTTTTCCCTTCTGGTATAGCAATGATCTCCCATGTGCCATTTCTTACAAGTGCTTGAACTTCTTCTGTTACAGCTGCTGCCCATTCAGGTTTCTGCAATGCTTCTTAAATATTATTTGGAATTTCGATGTTGTCAACAGCTGCTACAAAGGACCTGTAACTTTGTGATAGTTTTCCATAGGAGATATATTTTTCAATAGGGTGTTTCGTGCAAGTTCTAACCCCTTTTCTCATAGCAATAGGAATATTGATATCTGTTGTATCAACATGTTCAGAGTTAGGAAGAATATTACCTGTGGGAACTTCATTTTCTAGAGTCTGGTTTGACTCATGGCTTTGCATTGGAGCTATGCTTGACACTACCTCCTTCCTCCTCCTTCTATAACAAAAACCCTTCCAATTACCTGTTTTTGGATCACAATCCTGTTGAGATGTGGATGAGATTATAATTGGTCCTGTTTCCGTCATAGCTTCTGTTGTCCTTTCACTCAGCTGAATGTTAGAGGTTTGGTCTGGTAATTTTCCAGCTGGTTTAGGCATAGGTTCGACTAGTTCAAGAGGCAAAAGTTGGTATTCTGAATTTTCGATATGATGTATGTATGATTGCTCCCTCTGAATACCAGTTTTGGTGTAATAGGGTTGATTTTCAAAGAAGGTTGCATCCATAGGTGGTAAAAAATTTTGGTATGGGGAAAGTAACACCTATATCCCTTTTGGTGAGGAGAGTAACCAAGAAAAATGCATTTGATGGATTTTGGGTCTAATTTGCTTCGGTGATGGTTGAGGTTATGGACAAAAGTTGAGCATCTAAATATTTTTAATGGAATAGAGGAAAAGATTTTGCTGGTTGGAAATAGGTTTTGAAGTGCGGAGAGTGGGGTCTTAAAGTTAAGGGTACGGGAGGGCGTTCGATTTATAAGGTGAGTTGCTGAAAGGACAACTTCTCCCCAAAAGTGTTGTGGGACATTTGTGGCTAACATGATTGATCTAGTCACTTCCAAAATGTGTCTATTCTTCCTTTCTGCTACTCCATTTTATTGGGGAGTGTCCACACACGAGCTTTGGTGAACAATTCCAACCTTTTAAAGATAGAAATTTAGAGCAAGGTTGTAATACTCACGACCATTGTCAGTTCTAAGTATTTGAGTATTGCTTTGGAATTGTGTTTGTACCATCTTATGATAAATTTCAAATATTCTCCCTACTTTTGATTTTTCCTTCATTAGAAACACTCAGGTGACACGTGTGTGATCATTAATAAAGGTGACAAACCATCTCGAGCCTGTAATGTTGTGGACTCGTGATGGTCCCCATACATCACTATGAATTAATGAAAAATGTTTGGAGGGTTTATAGGATTGGGGTGAGTAATGGTTTCGGGTATGTTTAGACAATTGGCAAATTTCACATTCAAAATGTTCCTTGTTTTTATTGAATAAAGAGGGAAACATTTTTTCCAAGTATATGAAATTTGAGTGGCCTAATCTATAATGCCACATCATTACAGGATTATTATCACTTGAAACTGCAACTGCAACATGATAATTATTCTTGAGTTTTTCTTCTGATTTTTCCATTTGAAGGAGGTAGAGTCCAACACACTCTTCAGCATTGCCAATATTCTTCCCCGACTCCAAAGTCTGAAATTCACACAAATTAGGGAAGAATTTAGTAACACATTTCAAATCTCTTGTAATCTTGCTAATAGACAACAAGTTACAATCCAGTTTAGGCACATACAAAACTGAGTCAAGTGTAATATTTGGTGAAATGATAATTGATCCTTTACCCATGACCTTAGAATGTGTACCATCAGCTATTCGAACATTATAGTTATATGGACATGGAGAATAACTATTAAACAAAGTAAAATCTCCAGTCATGTGATCAGAAGCCCCTGAGTCAACAATCCATGATATTGTTTTTTCCTTACTAGTGTTTAGAGCATGTAAGTAATTACCTCTTTGAGCCACTACGGCAGTACCATTTGTTTCTGCAGTTAACATGGTTCGCTGAAAGAGTTTTTGGAGAGCCTCCATTTGTTCTTTGCTAAAAAGAGATGAGTTAGAGTATACCTCAACTTCTTGATTGTTAAATGATGTGTTACCTCTGCCCTCCTTGCCTTTGAACAATTTGGTCTCTGAAGGTTTTCCATGTATGATCCAACATGTTTCCTTTGTGTGGCCTAGTCTCTTGCAGTGATCACGCCAGGTGCGGGTTTTCTTTTGTGGTGGCCGAGGCTGAATCCCTCTTGCTGCCATTGCAGAGCTCTCGCTGTACGGAACTGAGTTGGGTGTTCTCAACATGATTTTCCTCCTGCTTTCTTCCCTTCTCACTTCTAAAAAGACTTCTCGAATTTTGAGAAGTGGTTTGGTTCCAAGGATCCTTCCACGAACTTCATCTAGGTCCTTGTTTAGCCCCAATAGGAATTTGTAAATCTTATCTTTTTCCACCGGTTCCTTATACTTCTTTTGATCTTCTGTACAACACCATGTAACCTCTTCATATATGTCGAGTTGCTGCCAGTGTTTGTTAAGTATATTAAAATACTCAGTAACAGAAGATTCTCCCTGTCGAAGGAATGCTTTTAATCTCAAATACGACAAATGTATTGTCAACATTTGAGTATGTTTCCTTCACTGCATCCCATGTCTCTTTTGCAGTGTCATAGAACATGAAGTTTTCCCCAATTTCATTTGTCAAGGTATTGAGCAACCATGACGTTACTTGGCTGTTCTCAAGTTTCCATTTCTGAAAGTTTTTGTCTCCTTTTTCGTGACATTTTGAACCTCCTGTGGTGTAGCCTTCCCTTCCTTTTCCTTCGAGGAAGATCTTCCGACCTTACCCATTGGGTATAGTTTTGACCATTTAATTTATGGCCTGTGATGAGGTGAGTGAGCCTTTCGTGTGAACTGGTCGAAAATGATTCAGTCTCCACTTTGAGCGATTCATCAAATTTGGGATCCTCCATAGTTTGGCGGCACTAGGTTAGGGATGGTTCAGATCGTGCTCTGATACCATGTAGAAATATATTTCATATTTCCTTGTATTTGATGAGAATTACATATAATGTATTTATAGAATACACAAGGTAGGATTTGGAAAAAAAATCTGACCTAAGAATCAGGGGAATTAATTTTCCATGAATGCTAATTCTAATTACAAAAAGGACCAGGAAATAATAGCTAGTTAAATACATTAATCCTAATCTTTAATGAGCTGTACAAACAGAATCATTTGATTCTGTTATGATTATTCCACATATAGTTTTGAGATTAAATAGGAGAGATAGTGATAGCTTAGAACATAGGTTTGAGGCTTACTCTTCAATATTCATGTAATTGTGTTACTTGGTTATATTGATGAGATGTTCCCTTCGATTTGTTTTGTTTAAGGTGGTCGGCGAGAGCTGTAAAAGCATATGCAATGGCAGAATTGGAAGCAAGGAAGCTTAAGTATCCTAAAGTAGGGACTGAGGCTCTCCTCATGGGGATTTTAGTTGAAGGTTTGTTGCAATGCCCAACTTTTCACATTCAATAATAATAGCAACATGTATTTCTTGTTTGGCATTAAATAAGCTATAAAGCAAAAACATGGACACATGACACTGATCCGAAGACACTGGTATTGATTTGAAAAAATAGATGTGATTGAATGTAAATCTTTGTGTCTATGTTATGTGAGTGTCCGACACGTGTACACCAACATGTGTTGGATACATGACACACCTTCAATATGAAATGTTTGACATACATAGGACACAAAATGGTTTTCTTTCCAATTACTAAGATTTTAAGATTTTAAACAGATATCTTAAATTGTGGACAGATTCAACTTTGATACCTAGATATTAGGAGATAATTAGTTGGATAAAACTTAGGTGGTGTTCTATAGATGCTGCTCGTGCTGTTCAATATGTCGCATAGATTACATTTTTTAGTTGAAAACTCAAGTTTTAAATGATTCTGTTTATTTTATACTATTGGATACATAGTCTATGTGTTGATTTGTAAGTCAATAACACTGAAAACAGCACACATTACTACATCTAAGTTGCGACCATGATGGATTGCGGCGGTGGATTTCTTGATAAATGCTGTGGTGAATTTGTGAAGGATGGCGGCGCCATGGCATTTTGACAGAGATAATGTTTATATTATTGATTAGAGCAGCCTGTGCTCTTAAATAGAATACAATATATTTAGGAAAGGAAATTCCTAATAAATACTTATCATTGCCCTCAATCAATTCTATAAGTAAGGACCAATAATTTCTATAAATACATACACAGCTAATCAAATCCTATTTATGGGATTTTAATCCTATTTAACTATAAAATATACCACTAATTAACACATGTACAACTCGTTCTGACACTCCCCCTCAAGTTGGAGAGTGGATGTTACTCATTCCCAACTTGCCGATAATAGATTGCAATGTAGAACCACTTAATCCTTTTGTAAGAACATCTGCCAGCTGATTTCCAGTTGATACAAATGGTATACATATTGTCCCACTATCCAATTTTTCCTTGATGAAATGTCTGTCTACTTCGACATGCTTCGTTCTATCATGTTGCACTGGATTATGTGCAATGTTTATTGCTGACTTGTTGTCACAATATAGTTTCATGGGTCCATTCCATTCAATCTTTAGGTCTTGTAGAATTATTTTCAGCCATAGGAGTTCACAAATACCTAAAGCCATAGCCCGAAATTCTGCTTCTGCACTTGACCTCGCAACAACGTTTTGTTTTTTGCTCCTCCAAGTCACCAAGTTTCCTCCAAGAAAAGTACAATATCCGGATGTGGATCTTCTGTCATCTACTGATCCAGCATAATCAGCATCTGTATAGGCTTCCAAAGTAATTCCTCGACCCTTTGTAAATAGAATTCCTTTTCCAGGAGTGCCCTTCAAGTATTGCAAAATTCGGTAAACAGCTCTAAGATGATTTTCTTTGGGATTATGCATGAATTGACTCACCACTCCCACTGCATAAGCTATGTCTGGCCTACTGTGAGATAAATAGATTAACTTTCCAACCAACTTTTGATAGGATTCTCTGTCCACAGTTGCATCTTCAACAAATTCACTAAGTCTGTGATTTTGTTCAATTGGAGTTTCTACTGGTTTGCATCCCAATTTACCAGTTTCAGATAATAAATCCAGCACATACTTCTGTTGAGAGATGAAAATACCGTGACGAGAGTGTGCCACTTCAAGGCCCAAAAAATATTTTAATCTGCCCAACTCTTTTACTTCAAACTCTTTTAGCAAACACACTTTTAGGCTATCCATTTCTGCTTGATGATTTCCTGTTACAATTATATCATCCACATAAACAATTAGTGCAGTAACTCCCCCTAAGGCTGAATGCTTAGTAAACAAAGTGTGATCTCCCTGACTTTGTTTATATCCCATATCTTTCATCACAGTGGTAAACCTGCCAAACCAGGCCCTAGGGGACTGTTTCAGTCCATAAAGGGCCTTCCTTAGCTTACAAACTTTGTCTTTCTCAAAGTTAAACCCAGGTGGGACCTCCATGTAAATTTCCTCTTCAAGGTTGCCATGTAGGAAAGCATTCTTGACATCGAATTGCTGCAAATTCCATCCATAGTTAGCTGCTAGAGATAACAAAATTCTGACAGTGCTCATTTTTGCAACAGGAGAGAAAGTCTCATGATAGTCAATCCCATATGTTTGTGTGTACCCCTTAGCTACTAGTCTTGCTTTATACCTTTCTAGTGTTCCATCGGACTTGTATTTAAGGGTGAATACCCATTTACAGCCAACAAGTTTTTTGTCATTAGGAAGCTCTACTAACTTCCAAGTTCCATTTTTCTCAAGTGCATCCATTTCAACTTTCATAGCTTCTCTCCACTCTTTGCTATCTAGTGCTTCGGTAACATTTTTTGGGATAGCGGTAGTGTTTAAATGAGCAAGAAAACTTCTATGATTGTTGGACAAATTATCATAGGATATAAAGTGAGACATTGGATACCTTGGCCTTTTTGTACATGCTCTAACATCCTTCCTTATTGTAATTGGAAGATCTCTAGCATCCATGGATATATTCTGCTCCTCTAAATCAGTCCCATCAACTTCAGATTCAGGGGGCACAATTTGCTCCTCTAAAACAGTCTCATTGATTACAGTTTCAAGAATTGGGTCAGATTCTGGGACTTGCACAGGTTGGATAATAGGTGCTGCCCTTCTTGTGTAAACTTGTAGTGGACGAGTAGCATTAGAAGTCTGTAATGAAGTGGTTATAGGACTTGACTCGGGAGTCTTGGGCATAAAAGAAAGGTCTTTGAACAAATCATCCTTATCTTCGATGCATTCCTTCTCCCCCTGAAGATAAGGTTTGGAAAAAAAGGATTCGGTTTCGACAAAAGTGACATCAATAGACACAAAATTCTTTTTTGTTGTAGGTTGATAACACTTGTAACCTTTTTGGGTAGGCGAGTAACCAAGAAATATGCATTTAATAGCTCGGGGATCAAGTTTTCCTCGATGTGGAGAATGAACATGGACAAATGACACACACCCAAAGATCCTAGGAACTAGGTGGTTTGAAGTTTTGAAATTTGGGTAGAATTTGGAGAGGAGCTGAATGGGGCTGTTATTCTGAAGAATTTGAGAGGGTAAGCGATTAATCAAGTAGGCTGCAGTAAGAGCAGCCTCTCCCCAATATTGTTTTGGAACATTTGTGTGGAATAAAGATGCTCGGGTAACATTGAGAATATGCCCAATTTTTCTTTCAGCCACCCCATTTTGTTGTGGGGTGTGGACACATGATGATTCATGAATAATACCATGTTCAGTGAAAAAGGAAGACAATGTTTGATTAAAATAATCTTTGGCATTGTCAGAACGAAACCGTTTAATGGTAGTCTCAAATTGGGTTTTTATCATTTGGAAACACAATTTAAATATTTGAGTGACTTCACTTTTTTGTTTTAAGAGATACATCCATGACACTCTAGTACAATCATCAATAAAAATGACAAACCAACGGGCCCCCGATATATTTGGGATATTGGATGGCCCCCAAACATCACTATGGATTAAGGAAAAAGGAGTAGACATTCTTTTATTATTATTAGGAAAGCTGACACGTTTGTGTTTAGCAAGTTCACAATCATCACAGTGAAAATTTTCTAAGTTTATACCTTGAAACAAGGTGGGAAACATATTTTTGAGAGTGCTAAATGAAGGATGACCCAACCGGAAGTGACGCAACCAGATTTCTTTATTGAGGGAAGGAATAGATTCTGACAACAAAGACAGTGGAAGTTGACTCTTAATGCTACTTGTCTCACGCGCTTCCATAAGAAGGTAGAGCCCATTGTCCTCTCTAGCAAGTCCAATCATCTTCCCCGTTTCCTGATCCTGAAATTTGCAAAGTGTAGGAGTGAATGTTACCAAGCATTGTAAATCTGTCGTAAGTTTGTGAATAGATAACAGTTTGGCAGATAATTTGGGCACATGCAAGACATCTCTCAACATTAAATTTTGACTTAGTGGAATATCTCCCTTTCCTGCAACAGTAATAAAAGTGCCATCTACAGTGACAATCTTTTTATTACTTGGACACGGTGTGTAAGAGATAAACTCTATAGAGGAATGGGTCATGTGATTCGTAGCCCCAGAATCAACAATCCATGTCCCTTTTCCTGTAGATTGTAAAACACTAAGAGCATAGGGATGAGAACTACCTGATAATGCCATGGAAGAACTACCTGTGTTTGTGGGTTTGACTAAAGAGTCTAGTAGTTCCCTTAGTCTTGTAATTTCTTCTGAATTGAAATCAGCAGTAGGTTTGGAATGACTTTCCTTGACAACACTTGATTGGACCAAGTGGGCATGTGCTGGTCCTCCTCGTTGAATGCCTTTGGTGTTCCAATTTCGGTTCTGATTTGGCGGTTTTCCATGAAGTTTCCAGCATCTGTCTTCGGTGTGCCTTGGCTTCTTGCAGAAGGTACACCATAGAGAATCCTTGTTATCCCCTCTTTCAATCTCTATTTTGGGAGCTCCTCCGGTTTGACCGTTCTTCCATTGGTCAATGTTCTTCTCTCGACTTTGTGCTACTAAGGCTGAACTTTCAGTTGATTGAGGCTCCATCATCACTCCTCTTCGTGATTCTTCTGTTCGAAAGGCAGCCATGGTTTCATTTAGTGAGGGTAACTCTTTTCCGAGTACTTGAATCCTTATTGGATCAAACTCATTGTTCAGACCGGTTAAGAACTTATAGATTCTATCCTTCTCCTTATAATTTTTTAGTAAAGTAGCATCCGCAGTGCATTTTGCTTCAAAATGTTCATAGTGATCCAACTCCAACCATAGATTTTGTAGAGTTTGGGCATACTCACTAATGGACCGATCTCCTTGCTTGGTAGTTGCAATCTTCATCTTAATTTCGTAAATTTGTGCAGCATCACCAACCTTGGAATAGTTTTCTTTACAGCTGTCCCACACCTCTTTGGCAGTCTTCATGAATATGCATGCATCACTAATCTCAGGCACCATGGAATTCCATAGCCATGATATTACAACAGCATCTTCTTCATCCCATGCAGCAAATTTCCCGTCTGTAGCTTCTGGAGTATCCTTTCCAGTAAGATGATTCAATTTGCCCTTCCCCTTTAAAAAGGTTTGGACAAAATGAGACCATTTGAGGTAGTTTTTACCATTGAGACGAAGGCTAGGTTGAACATTTTTCAGCTCAACAGAGCCGGTGTTTGGCGCAGGGGTATTAACTGGTTCAGACATTCTGAATTTTGTTGGGAAAAACGGCAAGATAGACCGTAAAATAAAATCGGCAATGCAGGCCGCACAGCGGAAACAATGGCAATGCAGGCCACAATTTTTAACAGGCTCCTATGGATTTTGGAGCTCTGATACCATGACAGAGATAATGTTTATATTATTGATTAGAGCAGCCTGTGCTCTTAAATAGAATACAATATATTTAGGAAAGGAAATTCCTAATAAATACTTATAATTGCCCTCAATCAATTCTATAAGTAAGGACCAATAATTTCTATAAATACATACACAGCTAATCAAATCCTATTTATGGGATTTTAATCCTATTTAACTATAAAATATACCACTAATTAACACATGTACAGCTCGTTCTGACACATTTTATGGCAGATATGGCAGCACCATATGGCATTTTTTTGGCTTTCCGCGAGGGACCTGAGCATTTGATTAATTTTTGTTGTCCTTTCAGGAACAAGTAAAACTGCAAAATTCTTGAGAGCTAATGGAATTACTTATTTGAAAGTACGCCGACAAACATTAGAGCTACTTGGAAAATCTGACTATTCCTTCGCCAGCCCTGTAATTCCTTCTTTGACTGAACCACTTCAGAAAGCCCTCGATTGGGCAATTAACGAGAAATTAAAGTCAGGTATGCATTGTTTGCTCGACGGTGACTTCAGAGGCCACTTGTTAGAAATGTTATGTAGCGCCGGTACTTTTAGATTGAAGTCACATCTAGTGTCCGACAACACTTGACGGTGTCTAATATTGACGCTGGTGGTTACTTGCCGTTATTAATGTAGGTGAAGAAGGAGAAACAAACGTGACTCATTTACTTGGTGGAATTTGGTCACAAGAAGAATCGGCAGGTCGAAAGGTCTTGTCTGCTTTGGGTTTCAACGTTGAAAAGGCCGCAGAAATCGCTAAAACAGCAGTAAGTTTCAAAATCTATCACAATAATATGGTATTTTAAAGAATCATATGGAGATCTAACCCGTAGACCTCCCGCCCATGGTTTAATTGGTTCAATCAGTTCAGCAATGGTAATGATAAGTAAATTAGAATAGTAAAAAAATAAAGCAAAAATGAAAACAAGTTGAACCAACTAGTGAACTGTCTGGTTCAATATAGTCAAGCACAAGATCTTTAGTAGGACCGGTTGGCTTGTGAAAGACCCTAAAACTCGAGATCTTAAGTAGGATCGGTTGGCTTGTGAAAGACCCTAAAACTCAAGATCTTAAGTAGGATCTGTTGGCTTGTGAAAGACCCTAAAACTCTGACAGTTAGCACAACACGTAAGATCCTATTGAAGGAAAAAATGGTAATTTCATACATATATATACACACATACTCAAAATCATGAAAAATTGTAATACAGGTACACACAAAAAAGGTCCAACACGTTTATTTGCGATCTCGCTTCAAAAAACTCAATTTTGACCACACCGGCGATGAAAACAATCTTTCTCTAATGGTAGCGCTCTAAGGCATCATTAGCATGTAAAATCTTACGATCTAGCACTCGATCTTGACTATACTGGTCTGGTTCCCCTGGTTTCCTGTTGAATTGACCTGATTTATCCGGCTTTTAAAAATGCATTATTATAATATTCATTTTGGCTGACAATACAATATGGCTTGTGTTTCTTGTAGGCTAGTGGAGATATTGATTGGAATTTCTAGAAGCAAGGTTAGGAATTTTCTGGGCAAAAAGGGTTGATTGATTGATCACTATTGAACCCTGGTGTTACAAGTTCCTCTAGAGAAAATTGACTATACATTCCTTCAGTGGCTACATCAATGTCTTTTAGATTCCATGTCAAATACTGTTGTAGAATGATTAGAGATTATAAATTTCTCATTCTTTTTTATACAAATATTTTGAAAGTCAGTTTTAAGTAGTTGTGTGATTATGGAATTGCAGTCTCTTCTCTCCTTTGCATCAACCTTTTTATTTGACTTTTATCTCTCTACAACCATAGTAACAACCATTACTAATTTCTCTAACTACAATCAACGCTGCCATTTAATTCATTCCATTCTCTTCCAATGATCAATCTTGAGAAGTCGTTTGGGGAGATCTAAAATTGGAGGATGGTAATGTGTTGCTAGTGCATGATTTGTGAATTTGATAATATTCATTAACTACATAATTTGTATCCATAATGTATGTTTTATTTTGCTACAACATATCAATTCATTAACTTGCTTATCCAAGATAAAATCTTACACTATAAAAAAGATTGATAAGGTCTTATATCTCATGTTTGAAAAACAGCTAATAATAAACAACATTATACTATCTTATCATGTTTTGATATGCATTTGATTCAAAATTCCAATTGAATTGTTAATCAATAGTTGAATCAAGCAAGCAGATGGTCTTGAAGTCTGAAATTAGGAATAAGTGAAAACTTGCGCTTAGCATTTTAGAGTGATAGTTTAGTAAAAAGAACAAGAGCATTTTAGAGTGATAGTTTAGGAAAAGAATAAGAGTAAGTCTTGAGGTATTAAGGTGATCACACATACATAAAATATTTTTTTCAAATGATATATTTTTTAACCAAATCTTCTTAAAATGACATGTATGTACTCGATTAAAAAGTGACTTTAATTAACTAGGAAAGCCAACTCACTGCATAATTGATTAAAGATTTGATCCAATCAATTAAAGCAATGAGGAACACTTTATAATTGATTAGAAAAATTATTATTTGATTAAATCATAGTTGTTTAGGTTTTTTTCTCTCTAGAATTAGGGTTGTCACTCTATGAAGTGTTTTAATCAATTAAAAGATTATTTACTCCATTAAATCACTTATTTAGCCCATAAATTATTTTCTTTTTTTAGCTAATTCTTTTTAAATAAAGATTATCTCTCCTCATTTCATTTTATATGAGATTTAAGAATATAAATCTCTTTATTATTATTGTACTCCCTAGTTTTAAAATTGTTTTTTTACTATAATAGTATAGTGCCGAAAGACTAAAAAAATCTTTTTGAGAGTTGTGTTGCAGTTAATGTTGTGTATCCTGATTTATTGAAGAGTTTGGTTCTCTTGTATGATATATTTGTAAGGGATTTGAAGATTGCAACTTGACAAATATTTGGGTAAAGGTTATTGAGTTAAGCATGTCTAAAATTTTTGTTTATTGTTGAAGTTTTGTGGATTGATTTTGTCCAAAAGCTCTAAATGTTATTAAAGGTTGTATGGATTGATCCCGTAAAAGCTCAAATTTGGTTTTAGTGGAACACTCAAGAGATAATTCTTGGAGAATAGTATGTTAAGTGGTTAGGCTGAACATGTATAAATCTCTAATGTAATCTCTCTATCACTTCTTTCTTTATTTTCTGTTGTTTATTTTATTTCAGCTGCATATCTCTCTTCTTGTTCGTCTTTGTCTTCTTTATATCCTTCCAGTAGTATTTATGTGTTTGTTTATCGAATATAATATTAAAGTTTTAAAAACCAAAATTTTCATAACTTTTTCTCGAATTTATAATAACATAATTCACTCCATTGTGTTTGGAATCACTTGGTTAAAAAGTGATATCAGAGTGTAACTCATATGATAAGAATAACCGTTTTAGACGATACTATGGTGACTTCGAATATTTCTTTTAATAATTTTTTTTTCATAAACACACATCTATTGTTTTATGGTGAAAGATTTACTATATGCAAAGAGAGAATACAAATGTTTTTTTTATTCTTTTGATTTTGAGTAATGAGATTTTGTTTTAGAAGGTCTTTTTTTTCCTACTCATTTTATTAATAATAAAGTAATGAACAAACTAAGTTATATATAGATTGCAGAAGAAAAGATAAAAGTGCAGCAAGATAAGTACTTTATGACAAGAGTGATAAGTACTAGAGAGTGTAGTTATGTTTTTTATATAGCACTTCTAAAGAAGTGTGAGCACCCTTAAGAAATTCTATGAAACTCCAATTGAGATGGAAAGAAAAATGATGAACATACTTGTCCAAAAAAATTGAGATGCCAAGTTAAAATAAATATAATCTTCAATGACGGTTCTCAAATATTGAAACTCTTGGGAATTAATCACAAAAATTATGTTTCTAATGAATATATAAGATTCAATAATTGAGATAATAAATCTGATATATCACTTGATAACAAATTTACAAAAGTTCTTGATGACTTCCATGATAGGTATAATAAAGAAAAAGATTATCGAAAAATCGAAAGAATTGATTTAATTGCTTAGAGATGAAGACAAGATCAAAAAAGAATACTCAAATACTTCTATTATCCGTCAGAATTATATAAAGAAACATTTGAAACATCGTCACCAAAATCATCATAGAAAAAGATTATAATAACATATGAATAATCTTCTAAAGAATCATCATCAAAATAATCATATGAGGAGCTTATTCCATCATACGAGAAATTTATGACATATGGAGAATCAATTGGAGAAGTATCAGAATTATCATCCAAATATTAATCCAAAAACTCATCCGAAGATTCTCATAAAATATATTCTAAAAAATCAATAAAAAAAATCATATGAATAAGTAAATTTTTGTCTTAAAACTACTTATGAAAATGCCGATGAAGTAACTACTCTATCCTACAAGCAATTGGTTGATTTAAGTGTTAAACTTAGTAAGAGAAATGATGATCTTGAAAAAAATATTGTAGAATTTCAAAAACAAGTTAAAGTTGTTGAAAGTGAAAATGATTGAATCAATGATGAAATAAATTTTCTTATAAGATAAACCATAAAATCAAATAGATGTGAAAATATGATGCGTTGAAAAATAAAGTTGAAAGTTTGAAAAAAAACTTTAAGTAAGTTAACTAAAGGAAAATATAATATTAATGTGATTTTAGCAAACCAAATAGATTTGTATAATAAATTCGACTTAAGTTATCGGTCTAATAATAATGCTAAATCGTTTATAAGTATGTTATGGGAAAAAGAAAACAAATTACCCTCTTTATAAATGTAATTATTGTCATAATTATGGTCATTGTGAATCTTAAAATAGATTATTTAAGATGGTCAAACACATACATCTCAAATAACTTAAAACATCTTAAATCTACTAACACTAAAGGATCGAAAAATATTTTGTTACAAAAGAATAAAAACCTAATTTGTTTTACTCGGATGCTTTGCAACTCCAAATGCTAAATTTCAAATTAGGAAAAGTTGTGCAAAGCACGGGTCTAAAGATTTATCAAATAATATAATATTCAAATAATATAATATTCAAATAATTTTTTGAAAGTATTCTCTCAAATAAAAAATTATTTGAAATGTATTTCACCAAAAAAAAAAAGAAAATGTCTTTAAAAGTTTTCTCTCATACCAAACAATTCTGAAAGATGTAAAATGAAAGAGAATTAGGATTATATATAGTTGAATTGAATGTGGATTCTATGGATATTGTGCAAGCCATAGAAAAAGGATCTTCGAGGAGCATAGAAGGAAGGCCATTGATAAAGAAAATCCATTAATTGATATAGTCTCATCTGAAGGTGAAGATTGTCCACTAGTTTAGGGAAGCAAACAAATGTACATATGCTATAGCTAATGTAGATTGTAATCTAGACTTAGGTTGTGATGTTTTTGATATTTCTATGGATTTTATTAAGAGTTTTCTAGATGATAATGCTAAAGAGATAACCTCCCCTATATTGGTGTTCCTGTAGTTTTCCTGTTTTGGTCTTAGGCCCTATTTCATAGCAAAAAAATAAGAAAGAGAACTAAGTTTGGTACTGAATTTGTCAAAGGGAGAATGATCTCCTCTCAAGACTTCTTGTGGTTTAAGGTAAATCACTTGGTAGAAAATAAACTCATAAAATTTTAGTTATTCATTTGATTTATTTTTCTATAACTTTTTGATTAAAAAAAAAGGGGAGGAGATTCCAAAAGCAAAACCCAGGAAAAAAGTCATCTGAAGCCCAACCGAACAAAAAATAGATAAAATATCACGTCTTAATCGATTAAACCTAAAAATTTTAATCGATTAAGACTTTTTATTTTTCAAATATTTCTCCCAAAAAACTAACCAAATCGATTAAAAGAACAAATCTACAGTAAATCTCACTGACAAATCGATTTTGGTTCAGAGTTACTGCAAAAATCAACCATCATAAAATTTTTAATCGATTGGGAGAAGATTTAATTGATTAAGGAGCTATGTTTAGCAACTTTTTCAAATCAACGGTTTTTCAAAAAGTTTTTTCATGAAGTCTATAAAAGCTACCACGCTTCCTCTCTTTTATTCATCCCATAAATTGTCTCTCTTATTAACCTTTTCGTAGCTACTTTTTATTACTATTATCATCGTTGTTATGGTATCAATGAAGAAGCTTCTCATTTGAAATCCTTCTTCAAATTGCTATTTATCTAAATACTTCTCATCCAAATTTCAAGAAATTTATCATGACAAATACTTTCTCGAATGCCATGCTTTCAAAGTTGCCTATCTAAAAGAAAAGTACTTC